ATATTTCAAAATTTCTTTACTTCATACACCTGCAACCCTTTCTACCTCCCCATCCTTCTATGTAGACCTCAAGTTCTGCTTCATGGACAAAAAAACAAAAAAAAGGGAAGTAAAAGAAAATAGATGCAAATGCCTTTACTGTCCTGTATACTAAAAGTTCTAACCTGAACTACCTGCACACTTCTCTCATTTAAAACTTAACACTTGAAAATGCCCACATTTTTGAAGTCTTTCTTTGTCTTTCATGACACAATAATTACCCATTTTTTCCTATTACCTTTATCATTATTCCTTCTTTGTTTCCTTTACATAATCATCTTTCCATAACTAGAATTACATGTTGAAATGCTTCAAGATTCAGTCTTAAAACCTTCTTCTAATTCTATACTGTCTCCCTAGTCAATCCCATCAATGTCTGCATCTCCAAATACATTTTAGGTGCCAATGACTCCCAAATTTATATCTCCAGTTCAGTTCTCACTTCAAAGTTCTAGACTTGAATATCCAACTGCATACGCTACATCTGTACTTAGATATTTTAAAAGTGCTTTAAATTCAGCATATTTTAAATTTCTCAAAAATTTTCTTCCATGCAAAACTGATCATCTGTTCTTTGTCACAGGAAATGAAACCATAATCCAAATCAATTACACAAGCCAAAAATCTAGAAATGATTCAAGACACTTCATTCTCCTTCATCTCCATTTTTAGACCCACCATCAAATCCAGCCAGTTTTATCCGTAAATAAATCTCTCTCAATTCTATCCACTTCTCTCCATCTCCACTGCCACCACTCTTGTTCAAAGTACCATCATCTCTGCCTGGACTACTGCAGAAGCCTTCTAACTGATCTACACTTTTACCTCATGTTTCCTTCCAATCTGCTCTTCATTCTACAGAAGGCTATATTTTCTAAAAGTAAATTTGATCATGATCGTGTCAACTTTCCCATTGTTCTTAGAATTAAGACCAAATTCATTAGCTCAACCTACAAGGCTCTGTATGGTTTGGAGCCTACCTAGGTCTTCAGCCTCAACTATTAGGCACTAGGCACTAAGCTTGGATATCAGGAATACAAAGATAAGCAAAACAAACATGAAGCTTAATATCAAGGAGGGGAGTTGCACATTAATTAAATAATCACCCAAATAAACATTAAATAGTGACTGTGGTAAGCGCCCATATGAAAAGAGACATACTGTTTGTTGTGGAAGCATATATGACAATTTGATGGTCACCTTTGCTAACTGTGCTATAGGCACCCTGGCCTTTGTTCAGTTTCTTAAAAATATGATGAACCCTTTGCCATGCCCTTGAATATACTATTCTCTTACTCAAAATGGTCTTTTCTTTCCTAGTTGCCTAGCTTACCCCTACTTTTCCTTCTGATCTCGGCAAAATTATTGTTTCTTTTGGTAAGACAGGAGATGATACTCTTTCCCTGGTAGCAGAATTGTCCTATTATACATTCTCATAGCATATATTGAAAAGAGTAAAAGAGTCACTCATAAATTCTCTCTCCTGTAGGCTCTTCACCATCGCTGTATACCAACAATAAGTGAAAAAAGAAAAAGATCATGATTTAGCATCATATATAATGGATTTTCCATAATAGTCTCATTTTAAAATATTGTCCCATTTGTCACACCATTTTTCCCAATTTTGCCATTCTCTGAGAATTACTCTCTGACACAAAGGATTGAACTTCTATAGCCATATGTGTACCGTGTGACCCTGTGCCTTGGCCACTGATGACAGAGCCAAATACAGACATCTGACTCACTGGAAACCAATCATTGCCAGCGTACAAGAAAATTTCCCTCAAGAACTTGAATCAAACATCAACGAGACTAAGAAAATTAGGAGAAAAGTAATGTAATTGTGGCAAAAAAGAAGGGAGGCTCAGAATGCTTGCTTTTTTAAGTACTGGAACTTCCCTAATTCCTGTTGTTCCTAAAGATTTGTTGCTCAGATCTTCCTTGATACGCAGCACTATTCTTTCAGTATCTTTCCCCTTTATCCTTTGAGCTAAACTGTGTGGGTTTCTGTTACTTAACACTAAATCCCCCTGACTAATATTTATCTCTCCTTTGACATATATCAAATTTCTTTCATCTTTATTTGCCCAGGGGTTGAATCTAATGTCCACGAGGAACACTAACATGAGCCAATTAAGCACTTAAAATGTAAATAATTACAAAGCTCTAATTTAAACTCTGCCTGAACCACTTACTAGTTGAGGACTTCCAGACAGCTGAGGGAAAATAGAAAATATAAAGACAATAAAATTCCATCACAGTGCCTAGCACTTAATAAGTGCTTAAGAAATGGTTGTTAATAATAACTATGGTTATTAATTAAAAATAAGGAACAAGAAAAAGGGCAGGTTTTTAGATTAACTACACTTTTCTCTGGGCCTTATACTCTTTCTTATTATGTATCAACTGTACAGAAAGGAAGTAGGGATTAGAATTTAATTTATAATAAAGGCTTGTAATAGCCAGACAGGTAATGAATAGCCTTGAGTCTTGAACTTAAAAGATGAATATTCTTACACTCTGCAAAGTCAGCTGCCTGAAAATCACCATTTTACAGGTAAGAGTGTTGCTTAGAACTTGGTTTTACTTATAATTAATTTAGTCAATTAACAACCCCATCACACACTGGAATTCCTCCAGCTTTTGTTTACTGCCAGCTGTTGTGAGAACCTCGAGAATAGTTTACAGATCAGTAAATTTTGTCAATCTATTTTCAGAAAAGAATAATTATCTAATAATGAAACATCTCTGTCAATGGAACAAGATAAAACTGGCTCAAATAGAAGCCAAAGAGATCTCTTTTGTCCTTAAAAGAGAGAGACAAAATAAGAGAGTTCTGCTTATTCTGCTAATCTCTCAATTGCAGTCACCCATTTAATCACAAACTACGTAAAGGATTCTTCTCTCATAGCTTTATTTTCTCATCAATATCTCATTTTTTAGCTCAATGCAAACTGACTTCCCTCTCTATCAATGACTTCTTATTTAGTCAATGAAATGTCTTTTAAGCAGTCCTCACACTCCTCAACTTCTGCAGCATTCAACCATTTTGATTACTCCCTCTTTATAAGACATATGGTGATTTTCCTTTATAATTCTCTGAACCTCCTGTGGCTTTTCCAATGCATTTTCTTCTCCTACCACCTAAAAGTTAGCATTCTCAAGTCATATGTCTCCAGTCTAATACCATTTTGTTATTCCTCTCTGTACGTACTTCTTTTAACTGATCATATCTCTTATCAAGGCCCTCAGATAGAAACCATGTTTCAGTCACCCAAGACACCTTGCCATGTCTTTTATCCACCCTGCACACTTCTGTTCTAAACAGCTTCACTCATTTTCCTACTGCCTAAACTGTTAGAGTCAATTCAAATTGCCACCATTTCCACTTGATGACACAGTGAAAAGTGACCTTTTCTTCTGCTGGATTTCAATAGCAATTAGATTGTTCCCTTATGGTGATGTATTAGATACTGTCATGACATTATTTGTCTATAAGGCACCAAATTATAATGATTTTGAGCCATAATGCCCATTTTGCAGATAAAAAAAAGTCCAGAGAGGGGAAGATACTTGCCCCAGCTGGTAAGTGTCACAGGTGAGACTGAAATATAGATATTGCCTCTTCTACTAAATTGTAAGCCTCTTTAGGGCAAAGAATACATCTTATTCATCTTCAAGCACTGGTACAGAACCTTAAAAATAGTGTTTAAAAAGATGCTTGCTGACAGAATGATTTAATGAATGATTGACACATCACTGACTAGAAGGGGTCCTAAGATTTAAGGAAAACAATTTTTCAAGAGCTGAGAGTCTGGTTCTTGTTTAAATTTCAAGCAAAAGAACTGGTAGAAAGGTAGAAGTTGAGAAAAATGGAATAAATGCACAAGAAAGGTCCCTGAAGATATGGGAGGGAAAGGATATACAGACTAAGGGAAGAGGTTGGCTTTGAAAATGAAGAGAGAAAAACTTCTGACCTAGCATTGAAGGGAAGGATATTAAATCTAGCCTAAGAGCAATCTAGGATATCTATGATTCTCTTCCTGTTAAAAATGCTTAAGAGCCTACCCACAACCTAGACACAGTCTGTATTCACACTAGTTTCATAGGAGGGGAATATTTCTACAACCACAGCACTCCCAGATGTCTTAGGCTGGGTTCTCTAGAGAAGCAAAACCAGTAAAGCATATAAATATATATAGAGAGATTTATATCAAGGAAACAGCTCACGCAATTGTAGAGGCTGCAAAGCCCCAAGTCCGTGGATCAAGATAGAGGCTTCTCCTGATTCATGTAGCCACCAGGGCTGGTGAATCCAAGATCAACAGATCGGAGAGTAGGGCTCTTGCTCACAGGCTGTGAAGATCGATGAATCCCAAGATTGGCAAGTAAGCTTCTAGCTCAAGTCCCAAGAACTGGAGGTCAGACGAACAGGACCCAGCTGCAGGATCCAGTGCAGGCAAAAGCCAGAACGACCGCTTATATCTGGATGCAGGCCACATGCCCAAGGAAACTCCCTTTCAACTGACTGGCTACTCACAGCAGATCCCATCACGGGGGTGATCACATATAAACACGGAGAATCATGGCCCAGTCAAGTTGACACACAATCTTAACTATCACACCACATTAACAGGGGTAAAAAAAAAAAAAAAGATTAACATGGTGGCCTGATATCTTTGGTTCCAGAAAAGAAAGCTTAAAGAAACAAGTTGTTCAATAAAATAGGTACTTTTGAATGGGTGGGAAAATAATTAAGAGGAAATGGCAAGGCTGGCATATTCTGACCTGATTCAGAAAGTCACAAAGAATTTTTAAAAAATGGAATCATTTATTTAAAATAAAACTCCAAATCCAGTAGAAGACGTGCATTTCATATTGCATGCAAAAATAATGGCTTAAGAGATTTTTTTTCCCTGTGGATTGTAAATTACCTGCTATAAACATGAAGCTGTCTCTGCCAGAATATGCGAAAAATGCTTGGAAGAAGGCTTCTGTCATCTGGGAGACATCTGGAAACTCAGCATCGAAAGCATTCTGAAACCTCTCTATATCCTCCTTCTTCCCTCTCACTAGTATCATCACTCCACTCAGGGAAATGAGGCCAAGTATGGCCATTTTCAGCATTGTGCTGGCTGTCTGAAGCCAAGTCATCTCTTATACACCACGAGTATTCAGGATTGCCACTATCCATAAAATGGCCAGTGCCAAACATTTCTTTGGTAGCTCTGGAGCAGAGCAGGTGGCATAGAAAGGCAAGGAGCAGGGTTTAGCTAGCGACTATCCCTGATCCCAGAAACAAGGCGGTCCAAAGTTTCAGGAAAGCAATCAAGGAGCTGAAGCATTTCTTGAGAAAATAGTACTGAACTCCACTGCATGGGAAGGTTATACCTATCTCTACAGAGCAGAGAGTGCTCATCATGGACCATAAGGCACAGGTAGCCCAAATACACAGGGACAGCCCTACATTCATGCAAGAGTACTTCAACACTCCTTTGGGAGCCACAAAAATTCCTGCACCAATCATATTAATGATTGTAAAACTTATGCCCCGATAATATCCAAATACCTCCCGGAGCTGTCTTTTCTTCCCTTTATCCATTTTCTTTAAGGAATTTAAATTTTCTATATATATTACAATGTTTGAATTTTCCTAACTATATTGCTGAATAGAATGTTCATTGATTCTCTGAAATAGAACAGGGCAGTCCTTTTTGTTCCACTGTTATTACATATAGCTCATATTTAATAATTAACAAAATACATGTGAAACATTAAAATAGCGTGAGATTTCTTGGAAGAGTTTACTTTGTCTTGTTTTTTAATTATTATCAAAATAATACATTCAAAAATATAGACAAAATTTCAAATAGGACAGACAGTATTACAGTGAAAAGTAGAAATCTGTTCTGTAGTAGATTTTCTCACTGTCTCCCCTTAAAGTAGATAAGTAAGTAGGACCACAGACCGTTCTGCACCCTGCTACATTGCTTCTTTCCTAAGAAGATTTCTGGTCTCCTTGTTCTCTGGGACCGGAGGGGAGGCCTGGTTTCATTTGGGACGTGGACCTGCTCATGTTTACTCAGATCTTTACAGTATTACCGTAGATTTTTTTGGATGCAGTCTTCCAGAAAACAGCCAATTTTCCCACAACCAAAGCAAAAACATGGACAATTTAATTTTCACATACTCTTAGGGGATATTTCAGAAATACTTCACTTCCACCCTGGGGGTGTGCTCCAGGCTTAGGAGCCTTTGGAGATATTCATGACAAGGCTTTTCATTGTAAAGTCAACGTATGTGAGAGCTACTGAGGCCAAGGCCTTGTTCAGATGGTTAGGGCCCTCCTTGTCCCCGTCCTTGGGGTCAGGCCTTGATCACTGATTAAGAGACAGGCTCATTTTGCAAGTGAACTTTGCCCATGCATGTACATGTGCACATACACACAGGCTGTGCTCTAAATCCAAGCAATGGTAAGACTGCTAGGATGAAGACAATCTGATCCAACTGGGTTGCACGCACAAGACACTTAAACAGCGTTGGCAATTAAAATCCATTATTATTATTTGTAGAAGGTAAACAGTAAACAACAGGAACAGATTAGATGTGAATTGGTCCCTTCTCCCCCACCCCCCGCCCCCCGACTAGGAGTACTCCACTTAGTATCATAGGGGAGAACCCACTTATGTCTAAAACGGAACTCACCCTTCTCAAATTACCCATGTCCATGTCTGTGTCACCAGGTGGGCACTACTTGGACCAAGTTTCAGCAGGTGTCTCTCCCTCAGCAGGTGTGTCATAGGGTCGGGTCAGGTGCGACATGCCTGTGTTCATCTCCCTTTTTCTGTCACTCTTTTTTTTTTAATAGCAAGGTTTTATTGGGAATTTGTATAATTTTTTTTTATTGGGTTTTAGGTGAAAGTTTACAGTGCAAATTAGTTTCTCATTCAAAATTTATAATTTATACACGAAGTGTTTTGTGACATTGGTTGCAATCCCCACATTGTGTCAGCACTCTCTCCCTTTCCCTTTACACCTGGGTTCCCTGTGTCTATTCACCCAGGTTTCCTGTCCCTTCCTGCCTTTTCCTCTTTGCTTTTGGGCAGGTGTTACCCATTTGGTCTCGTATACTTGATTGAACTAATAAGCACATACCTCATGTGTGTTATTTGTTTTATAGGCCTGTCTAATCTTTGGTTGAAAGTTCGATTTCAGGAGTGGCTTCAGGTGTGAGTTAGCAGAGTGTCTGGGGCCATAGTCTCAGGGGTTCCTCCAGTCTGTCAGACCAGTACGTCTGACGTCTGACGGGGAGTGGTATGAGCTTTCTTCCCACCATTCAGCAGCTGATCAAGTGGTGGAAAGGGAGGGGCAGTGCAGGTCAGGTGTGGTGGCAGGCCTGACCCAGGGGTGCTCTAGCTGCAGTGGCATGGCGAGGGCCAGTGGGAAAGGGAGGTGGTGGGGAAGAAAGAAAAGTAAACAGAGAGAAAGAAAAATAATAATAAGGGTAGCCAGCAGGTGGGGGCAGGGTGCACCTGGGGGCCAGCGGGAAGAAGGGGAAAGAAGCCTTTATGGGGATAGGTGGGAAGTAGAAAGTGGGAAGCTGGTGGCTCTCTAGCCACGGAGGTGCAGCATGGCCCGGCAGGAAGGGACAGAGGCGGCGTACAGGGGTAGGCGGGAGGAAGAAAGAAAAGAAGAATGGTGAAAAAAAGAGGAAAAAGAAAAAAATGGCATGGCAGGAGCCGATGGGTGGCTCTGCCTCCCCTCTCTGTGGTTTATTTTGGCCAGGTCTGGCCCCTGTGCTTGCTGGTCTGGCTCTCAACCAGTAGCTTTAGGACAACCCTGGGCCAATGCCATGGTTAGGCCGGCATTACAACAGCTCTCAAGGCTTTTATGGGCAAACCCTGTACAGTGTGTGGCCAAGCCTCTGCTCTGATGGCAACCTTGCCCAGAGGTGCCCAGCTCTGCTCCATGGGCAGACTCTGCCCCTGCCACTGTCTGCCCAGTCTCAAAGTTCGCACTGCACCACTTCTCTGCTGCTCAGCTCTTGCCACCCTTTTTCTCGTTTTTCAGTATTATCAGCTCAGTGAATGTTACCAGCTCAGTGTTAGAGCCCTTGACAGCTCTTCTAAGAGGTTCTCAGTGCAGAACCCCTGTGTCCAAAAGACGCACTCCCCTCCTGGCTCTTGTTGATCAGACAGCCTCCTGTGAGCCTATACATTCTAGGGTTTTTATCAGTCACTGCGCAGGTGACTCAGTCAATCCTGCTAAAGGTGAGGCGGGGGACAATACCGGTAAAAGTCAACTAGTTGTGGGGGTGGGCAGTCAATCCATGTAAAGATGGATAGCAAACCATGTAAAGGTAGACCTTGCAAGCTGCCTATTTGGATAGCAAACCTACCAATCCTTTAGCAGACTGCAGCCTGACCAATCTTTGGTCAGGAAAATCCATTGTACCACAGCAAGGGATTTCATTCCCTGTTCTTGCTAATTGGTTTTCATGTGCCTGGTGAAAGGTAAACACTTTGTTTCCTGAAAGCGTAACCTTAAAAATAGGAAGAAGAGGGAGTAGAGAAGTGAGAGGATTAAGTGAGCAAATTTCTCAGTGTTCACAGAAAAAAGTCAAAAAAGCTTTCTAAAGTTGAGATATTAAGATACAAGCGTCTTTTCATTTTATTTAGAGTTATGGAGGCAACTACCAAGAAGAACTAACCAAACATGCTTTAAAGTGGTTGCTTTCAGAGAAAAGAACTGGGAATGTGTTTGGAAAGAAGTGAAGTAGAGCAGATTTCTACTTTTCCCTGTAATAGCTTCTGTCCTATTTGAAATTCCTTTTATGCATTTGAATGTATTATTACGATAACAATTTTAAAACAAGGCAAACTAAACTCTTCCAAGAAATCTCACACTATTTTACTTAATGTTTCACATGTATTTTGTTAATTATTAAAAAATAGGCTATATTTAATAAAAGCAGAAGAAAAATGATTGCACTGTTCTATTTCAGAGAATCAGTGAACATCCTATTCAGCAATGCAGTTAGTGTGATGGTTAAGGTTATGTGTCAACTTGTCTAGGCCATGATTCTCAGTGGTTTGGCAAATATTATGTAATAGTCCTTCATTTTGTGATCTGATGTGAGCAGCCAATCAGTTGAAAAGGGAGTTTTCCTGGGGGTGTGGCCTGCATCCAATATATATGGATATTCTGGCATAGCTCGCTCTCTCATGATCCTGTGATCCTGCATCTGTTTTGTCATCCTCTAATCTCCAGTTCTTGAGATTAACTGCCTGACCTACATATTTTGGGTTTCACCAGCTCTCGCAACCCCGTGAACCAGCCTGCCACCTGACTTGCCGATTTTGGATTCATCAGCCCCTTCAACCATGTGAGTCAGAAGAAGCCTCCAGCCTGATGCCTGACCCACAGATTTGGGACTTGCCAGCCTCCACAACTGTGTGGGCTATTTCCTTGAAATAAATCTCTCTATGTCTATTTAAATATACACTTCACTGATTTTGCTCCTCTTGAGAATCCAGCCTAAGACAGAAAAATTAAGAAATTATCGTCTACAGGTATGAGTCACTTATCATCTGTTCGGGCAATGTCCAACCACATACATGTCCATGGTCCCATAAGGTGTTTTTTGTTTTTTTGTTTAAAGGGAAAGCATCTCTCTTTTGTTTATTATTACCCCCTAATGGTTTTAAAGACCCCAAACCCAGACTCTTGCAGCACTGGTTCTGGGCGAGGGATCTTGGGCTTTATCCAGCAGGCAGGTGGGCCGTGGCAGTGGGGGCTGCAGGGCCTGGGCTGTTCCTGCTGCTCAGGCAGGCAGAACAGTGGGCAGGCCTGGGTGTGCTCCCCACACTCCTCCCTCGTTTCCTCTCACTCCGCTCCCATGACGGTCCTCTCAGCCACTGCTGTTGCTGCTGACCACTCCTCTGGTCTCCACCAGCAGCTCCAGCAGCAGTAGCAGTGGCAGCGGCAGCAGTGGTGACAGGGACGACCAGAAACAGGCTCCTATAAGGTTTTAATATGGTATTCACACAGTGTCCAAATCACATAACATATTGTGGACATTAAGCAACTCATACCTATATATAGAATTATAAAATTCCTCAATGTCCTGGATCTCAGAGCAGAAAAATAAGACCAGAGGAAGAATCATGGTCCTCAAATAGGAGTGTGGTAGCTTTGTAATGTCTTTGCTCCCTTAAAATTTACTTATGAAAGAAGGGAATTGAAACAGCAGAGAAAAGATGTTTTGAAGGACATTAAATTTTACAGTTAGATGGCACTTTGAAGGTGTCATGGGTTGAATTGTGTCCCCCCAACGTATGTGTCAGCTGGGCTAGGCCATGATTCCCAGTATTGCGTGATGGTCCACCATTTTGTCATCTAATGTGATTTTCCTATGTGTTGTAAATCCTACCTCTATGATATTAATGAGGTAGGATTAGCAGCAGTTATGTTAGTAACACAAGACTCAATCTACAAGATTAGGTTGTGTCTTAAGTCAAACTCTTTTGAGATTTAAAAGAGAGATGGGAGCAGAGAGACGTGGGGACCTCACACCACCAGGAAACAAGAGCCAGGAGAATA